AGGGTCTCTCCAAGTGATTGCCAGAAGTGAGATGCATCCTGGTCTTGTGTCTTACAGATAATCTTACAAATAGTCCTTTGCATTTATATCATGCTTTCAGCTTTAAAAGGATCATAATGCTGATTGTGTGAACTTAGGCAAATCACTAGAGGTAGAGCAGGAAGGGTTGCATCAGTGCTTAGTTCTTGTGGCCCTTTCTTACACGCCCAGGGAAATGCTGATCGCCACTTTGGGGCCAGGAAGCAATTTTTCTCCAGGCCAGTTTGGCCCCCAGTGATCCTGGAGGGTAGAGAGGTAGAGCAGGAAGGGTTGCATCAGTGCTTAGTTCTTGTGGCCCTTTCTTACACGCCCAGGGAAATGCTGATCGCCACTTTGGGGCCAGGAAGCAATTTTTCTCCAGGCCAGTTTGGCCCCCAGTGATCCTGGAGGGTTTTTTTTTTAATCATATTCTGGGCATGGAACAGGGGTCACTGGAGTGTGTGGGGGGCATTGGTGAATTTCCTGCATTGTGCAGGGGGTTGGACTAGATGACCCTGGAGGTCTCTTCCCACTCTATGAGTCTATGATTCTACAATTCACCCAGGCTGGCTCTGGGCACGCCAACACCTCTGTCAGGCAGAAGCGCCTGAGATCCTCCCCCTCCCCTTTTCCTTCCCCCAACTTGGAGGTGAAGGGAAGGGAGAGGGGGGAAAGAATGGATCCCAGGTTCTTCTGCCTGTCAGAGGGGCTGGTGCACACTTCTGGTGATGTCAGGGGGTGTGGCATATGCTAATAAGTTATGCTAATGAGCTCCTGCAGCCCTTTTTCTACAAAATGACCCCTGCGCGCACTTAACCACTGAATAGCCCCGCCGTAGCTATGGACCAGGGTTCTAGTCTTGTTTTTTGACCTGACTTCCGTGTTTCTGACTGAAACCACCACATTCAAGGCAAAAGTGCGTAGGAAGCAATGGAGGAAGGCAAACAAAATGAAGAAACCGGATGCTCCATTAGCGGATTCTGTCTATGCACATTCACAGGCACCTCGCCTTG